GAAAAATTTTGTGTGACTAAGTTGTTGTAGATTTGGACCCAGCCAATGCCATAAAGCATTGATTGGTACTAAAATTTTTAACAGATCTATTTGTATAGAAAATAAATTGATGTAGAGATGAGTTTGCTAATGCAATTTGGGTAAGTTGAAGGGAGGCTTCATTGTTATGAAAGATTGTAGATATAGAAGAGTCAATAATATTAATTGAAGATGGCAGTGGTACTTCTAGAGAGTGTTTGATATTAGTAGAGTAGATAAGGTTGATATAGTTTGTATTAAGATTAAGTTGTTTGTTGGCTTTTTTCCTTCCTAGGAACTGGGTAGAAAGAATAGCAGATACTTCTAGAGTACAACAACTAGAAATACAATTAGAGTTGAGATTACAGCATTGACAAGGTGTAAGAGATAGGAGGTAGTGAATAGTGATTAAAAATTGAAGTGTCAATATTATGTTGCCAGTGTGTTATAGAGATAATATTTGTTTGATAAAAAGTTCTGCAAACTTGACCGATTACAATTTGCTCATTGTGATAGGATAAGACCCAGGGTTTGTGAGTTTTAGAAATGAGGTTGGTTTGATATGCAAAAGAATTAGAGCTTTTGGGTTGGAAGTGGGTAGAATAGTATGAGATAAATTATACTTGAGAATAGAGTCTTCTAAGTAATTAAATCAGAGTAGTTTTTTGCTTTTAGGAATATGTAAGATTCTAGAAAATAAGTATAGCCAGTCTAACAAGGTCTTGTTGTCTGCTGAACAGAGTTGCTCTAAGTATAGGATGTATTTGTGTTTTAGTTGTTATTTGAAGATATTATATTTAGAGTAGTTTGAAAGAATATTTTCCAGTGAAGTATTACTATCATTTATGGTTTTGGGCCAGGGAAAGTCTGAGTTAGCATGTATAGAGATATGTAAATAATTAGAAAATTATATGATTTTCAAAGTAGTGGTATGTTTATTAGAGCTATCAATAATGAGGTGGGGGTGTTGGAGAATATTAGTTGCAGATAAGGATTGTTTTGGAGTTGTTGAAGTCGAATATATATTGTAGTACCAAGGGTGGAAGAATTATTAATTCTATTAAGAAAGTTGCTAGTATAGTGTTGTAGTTGTATGTCCCAGATATTGTAAATGTTATAAAGATTATAGTTGAGAAGTGTGCTGTTAGGAGTAGAGCAAGAGAGATGTACTTTGTACTTAGCTATAGTAAAGTATTTGCCCAAAATTTGGTTGCATTTGTAAAAAGGAATTACAACATTGTAAAGCTAGTATTTAGTAGTTAAGATAATAACAGTATTAATAATATAAGTAATTTGTTTATCAGTTATATTTTTAGTACCAGCAATATTGGCTAGCTGAATGGCCTCGTCTTGGATGAGTTTGATTTGTGAGAACTGTTTGTTGTTGAGAGTAAACCAGCATCCTAGGAATTTAAAGAGCTGATGAGGTGGGATAGATTGCAGAGTAGAGTTAAGAAATGAGAGGTTAGAAGAGAATTCCTTAGTAATAAATATGGATTTGGTAGGGTTAACTTGAATATTAGCTATTGAATAGAAGGAGAAAGCAGTTTTAATGATTTCTTCATGTTTTGGATTGGGCAACTCATAATGTATTATTCATGTAAGTGAGGACTGAAATAGAGGTATTGAGGTGATGTGTGAAAGGGTGAATGAGGCTGGTTTGATAAGAAGTAGAGAGTATATATTTAGAAAAGTGTGAAAAGATATTGGAGATAAGAGGATTATAATAGATTTTTCAAAAGAGTGGGGTAATAGTTTCACCTTGATCAATACCATTTTTAACTGAGTAAAAATTGGTAAGGCCAAGATTAGTAATAACACAGTTGGTACGATCAAATAGAAAATTGGTTAGAATATTGATAAGCTGTTAAGGTATTTGGATTTGCTACAAAGACTTTTGAAATAATTCAAAGTTGACTAAGTTATAGGCTTTACTCATATTCTGAGAAAGAAGCCAAAGTTGGTTTGAATTGCAGTTTGTATCTTCTATTATATTATTAAGAATATGGATAGGTAAAGAAGTGAAGTTATCAAAAGTGCGACAAAGTTAATTGGTAAGAGATAGTTGGTAAGAAGTTTAGTATATAGTTTTTTGATATGTTCTATAAGGCTAATAGGTCTGGTGTTAGATAAGTTGCTATCAAAGATGGGTTTTTTGGAAATAGGGAAGATACATTCTTCTTTCGATTATTTAGATATAGTTTGAGAGAAGAGATAGCAGTTAAAAAAGGATGTTATAGTAGTAATGAAGTTAGAACTGGCATGTTTTAACATTTCATAGCTAATGCCTGATGGGCCACAAGCTTTATTGATTAATGATTAGCATGATTCAACCTCAGTGAAGTTGGAGAGAGTATTGGAATATCATGTGGAGTTGATATCAGATTTAGGATTGTATTCTGTTTGCTATTGAGAATTAAAAATATTAGAGTCAATATATTGAGGAGCAGTCTAGTTGTCAAAGTGTTGTTGAATATGAGATTTGATAGTTGGAGAGTTACTAATAATATTATTATCTAGTCTGATATTGTTAAATTTGACTGGCATATCGGCTAATTAGTATAATATTTCAAATTTGATTTACTAGTAGATCATATATAATTTAGAACAAAACATAATATAAAAACTGATATACGAATGTAAAGATCATAAAAATTAGCAAGTATATAGATTGTATTTAAAGGAGTTTATATACGAAATAATCAAGAAATTGGAGAGATAATCAGACTATTTATCTATAACAAAACTTTGAGTAGCAATTTTGAAGTATATTTATTCCAACGTATGGAAGTTCAACTAACTAGTGATTTTTATTGAAGCTTTTTTGCTCATATATTGTATAGTTATTTACTAACTCGTATTTTAGATCATTATATAGTTTATTTGAGTAAAGCATATCTTTATATCATGCATTAGCTCCAGGTTTATTTATAGTTTATATTAAGTATATCTTTTTTATCAAAAAAAAGAGATTATATAATAGAAAGATTAGTATTATTGTTTATTGAGATCCATAATATTAAAATAGTTAGTAAAATTCTATTATTTTTAAAGTACAATACATTCTATTTACAGTTTATTATTATATTAAGTTTCAAATTTTACATTTTACTATATATTACAGTATTTAGATATGCAACATGACTAAGTCTTGAATGTTCTTAATTGCAAAGTTGGTAAGTACTGTATAGTGTTAATTGTATAACAAAATTATTAATTCGAGTTATAAATGTAATATATATTGAATTTGTTTTACAATATTAAAACAAACTAATGAATTTTTCAATTTCTTTAGATGCACCTTTTTCAATATCAGCTTAGATCAGAATTGGAAGTAGCGACAAATATGATTCTAGTACTGTACAAATACCTACCTAGCATTAATTAATTAATCTGCACATTATTTCAAGTACATGTATGTGCATTATTTTGAAATAAGAAGCATTTATTTATAATAAGAATAAAAAAGTGCACTGGAACTGGATTTGATAGTAAGTAAATCTATTTGTTTAGCTTTAGTAAAAGTTGTTCTTTAGGTCGTGATAATTCCAACAATAGTAAAATTATCAAAAAAAGTCCTGTAGTTCATCTGCAATACTTCAAAGTTTTGCAATATTTATTACCTAATCTATAAACAAAATTAAAGAGGCATTGCGGGTGAACTACTGGGCTTTTTTTAATGATTTTACCACTGTTAGAATAACTGGAACAGCGCACAGTCTATTATTTCTGAATCATGTGATATAGATCATTTTTTCGTGTAATCATCACCTGCAGATCACAATTTTGTCACATACTATATCAAAGTTTTCTTTACCATTATAAGAAAATATTGTCAATACTTTGTTAGAAATTAATTTAGTAATTAAATTGTTTTATCAATTTTCTATTAATGGTATCAATATATAATTTATTTGAGAAAGTTCAGTTATATAATATGTAGTATAAGTTTGTACAAAAACTTTTTTAAAAGATGTTTATTGATGCTCTGACTATACTTTAATTTGCCTTTTGATTTGCCCCATTCTCAACATGAATTCATTTAAGATTTCTGAATATTAAATGTAAGCCTCGATGTTTGGCTCTGATTCATTTGAACTTATATTATAAAACAAGAAAATAAATTTGTGACTAGTATGACTATTAAAAATTTTTAAATTAGGTTCGATCAAGTTTTAACAAACTGAACAAAAAATTAAAACCTAAAGGCTAAAATATTCATGTACTGCTTTGATAGTTTAACAATATGAAAAATTTAATTAAATTAAAATATTGTAACTTGTAAAGTTAAAATTTATTGTAAAATTCTTAATAAGTTGATTTATCAAGATTAAATTATTATTAGGAATTTTGTCCTAGAAATTTCAATTTTATCCAGAAAGGTAATACTTAGATTGGTGGATATATATTAATTAATTTGTCTAATAATTTTGTTTAACGGTATTATAAATTTTTTTTACACTATATTAATAGAACTAAATTATATTACAGTAAAACTAATTATCATTAAAGCAACCCATATGTAAATGAAAAACTAATTAAACAATTTATAACAACAATCTTTCATTTAAACTTATCATTTATTGGTCAAATAACTATATTAAAGGCTTAGTGACCCTTCTATAAATCATTTACGTAGTTAAATCTCATGTGTATTTTAACAAACAATATACATGTATTGGATATACTTAATTCACATAGATCTCTGTTGTGTGAAAATAAAAACTTTTACTATAACAGGGTAAAATCTATACTAAATTTTGGTTAAATCCATTATGCAGATTATTCGAGGGTGAAATCTGCACTAACTTATAAAAATACTATGCTAATGCAGGTTTCACCCCAACACTAAGATAAAGTGGGTTTTACTAGAATTCAGTGCGATTTCACCCTGACATATATTTATCTGAAATTGATGTGAAATAGCAATATTTTTAGTTTATATACAGCATAATATAATTTAATGCTCATTAGTTATAATAATGTTTGATACAAAAAATAAATTCTACAGTAAAGTGCTTAAATTTTGATTAAATACCTCTTGGTTTATTATCATTGTACTAAGATTTACTATCGCTTTCACTCTAAGTTTTAATATTGATATTAGTTTACTAACATTCACAAAGATTATTCATTTAATTTCAATAAAAATAAATAAATGCTCTTCTTGCGCTCATTATTATCCACCAGAAAATTTCATCTATAAAGGAAAAACTTATAAAACATGTGCAAAATGTCTTATTTCTAAAGCTGAAAAACGAATAAAATTAGAAAAAAATAATGTTAAAACTACTCCAATTGAAACAATTTTATCACAAGTTCTTTGTGATTATGTAGCCAAACTAATCTTGAATATTGAGGGTGACAATGAAATTTTATTTAAAATACATATTAACCTTTATGATGATATTTTTTTAATGGCAAACTTTGATGATCTTAAATCAATAGTAAGAATAATTATTGATAAAATTGAAGAAGGTAATGACTATATATAGTCAACTACAACTGCTCCACATATCTCAACTCGATTTAATAATGTCACCACATATTATTTTGCATGTTCCCAATGTTATAAATTAGAACGAGAATACAAACCATCAAACCGAAAAAGAATTTTCCAATTTGATTGTCATAGCAAATTAACTATCCATATTGATGTACCAGCAATTGATGCAATAATAAAACTTCATCATGATATTATTCATGACAAACCAGAAAATGTTTCAACACCAGAAGAAATTAAACAAGAAATTTACACAAACCTTCATTTGGACCCAGCACAAATTTGTGCAATTCTTCGCAATAAATATGATATTTTAAATATTATAGCAAAGCAAATTCATTATTGGTGGTTAATATTTGCACAAGAATCATATAAAATGAATGATGACCAAATTATCTCTGCATGTACCTTTCTTAAGACAGATCGTGCTACAGATTGCAAACTTTGCTTTGAATTAATAACTAACAAAGTAACTACAATAGATTTTTTAACTCCTCTATTTAGCATTATTTCATCTGTGCCAGAAGTTCATTGTAACGCAACTTACAAAACTGCAAAAGGTCACTTTGAACTTTATAGCCTTATTGGTAATGTTAATGGTGCAGGTTTTCCATTAGAATATCTAATATTAAATACTACGAATGCTTAAGAAAAAGAATTTTAAGATTATTTAAGAACAAATACACTAGCTAGTTTTTTTAATTCTGTTAGAAGTCATGGATTAAACCCTACTTACTTTTATACAGACAAGGATTTTGCTGAGATAAATGCAGCAAAAGAGGCATAGCCAAATGCTGATATTCAGCTATGTCAATAGTATATCGATCGTGCAATATCAGAAAAATTAAAAAGCATAAAAAGGATACAATATATATATTATTAGCCCACTGAGGCCATTACTAAATTTGATTCTATAAATTCTAATTTTATTCCCGATTTGAAATATTCTGATCCTAAATATTACCAAGTCTGTCTATTAGATCTATAAAAGGATGTTCTAAATCTTGTTAAGAAGCATTTTAATATATACTCAAAAATATCTAATAATAATGGTAAATTCTTAACTCCTACAGAGATTAAAGAGAATGCAGTATATGAAATATACAATTTTTGTATTAACAATAATCTTACCTTACTGTGGTCATACTTATAGTCATTATAGTATAAAATGTCACAATGGTGCCTTTGGGCACATTCGGTAAAAGACACTATACCTATCGGAAAAACCAATATGATAATAGAATCACATTGGAGGGTACTTAAACATTGTTATTTCTGTCGCTTTAATTGTCCAAGGTTGGATTATCTCATATAGATAATTTGTTCTCGCATTTTACCTAATCAAATAATCCGGTATAAACAAATATATTTTGGCCGAGAAACACCAAAGTGGTTTGACAAATTCAAAAGAATTTGGAACCAACTTGCTACAAAATCAATTACAGATGATGTAGAGGAGCATTATATAATTGATTTAAACTGTTGGATATGTAGCTGCCCTTCATTTCTCTATAGCCGGTTCTTTATTTGCAAGTATCTAATTCATTGTGCAATCGAAAAGGCAAAATTAGATAATCCAGAAAGAATCTGGCTTGTCTATAAAAACTTTAAGTGATGAACAAATTATCCATTTCTTATTTGGGATGGAAGTGAACCAAATGATACTTTTTTTATTCCAAATTTAGATTTACAACCACTATCTAATATGGCACAATCTGGTATGATACAATCTGGTATGATACAATCTAGTATGGCACAATCCAGTATGACACAATCTGGTACAGTACAATCTAGTATAGTTATTTCTGTTAATGATGATGGCGATAGTGTCAATCCAGACTTCTACTAGCAATGTGAAACTAAGTTGGTTGAATTAGAGTATCTTGTAAATCATCTTAGAGAAGAACTATCTAATAATAATTTACGACATGTTAGAAATGTTGTTAACAATATGAATCGAGCATTCACAATTATAAATGACATCAAATCATCGCAGTGCAATTCAAAGCGTAAGAATACATGGAGTGCGAAGCCGTAGACCATGTTTTTACAATAATCTGTATTCTATTTATAACAATAAAATATAACTATAGGTTTTACCTGTTCCGGGTTTTTAGAATCATATAATTTCAACAACCAATTCACCTGAGTTTTATTAATAAATAAAAATTTATTAGTATTTTGTTTTTATATAAATAAAACCAGCATTACTTTTTAATAAAGTGATATATAATACTTTGATGTAAAAATGATACTAAGTTTTCAAATTTTTTAAAGACTATGTCAAGTTCAGTAAATTATACTCGAAGTCTGGTTTCTCTTGGTGCTTATTTATTCTAACTATAAACTTCTTTAATGCAAAATTATTATAGTACCAGCATCATAGAGCTGATTTTTCTATAAAAGCATTTATTAGAATAAATTCACGACTAATAAATCTTGTAATTATTATTAGTATTTATTAATTATAAAAAATATTACTGTATTCACACCTTAATTTTGAAAAAGATTCAAACTCAGACAATAATCAAAAACTCACTATTAGAACTGCTACAAAACTGTCTTAGATAAAATATTTAACATTATCATTACTTGATTCGTCTTGCAACTTGTTCTAAATGCTAAAATTTGCTGATTCGAATTTTAAAAAAGAAGTTTATTGATTATATCAGTATGTAGTGATAATAAAACTATCAACTCTCTCTAAATGCAAGTTGCCAGGACTAAATATAAAAATGAATAAAATCTGCATTTAGAGAAAAGTTGCATTTAAAAAAGGTAAATTTTAATTTCTTTAGATACTTTGGCATTTAGAGAAAATTTTATTCAAAGATGCACTTTGTATACAAGTATAATCGTTATATAGTAATGTGACAAAATCATGATCTGCAGGTGATTATCATGTGAAAAAAATGATCTACATCACATGATTCGGAAATAATAGACTACACGCTGTTCCAGTTCTGTTAGAATTGTTTCGACTTGAAGAAGTTAAAATAAATTTATTTAATATCAAGCCACTTTTTACTCATTTATTGTATCTTTTTTATTTATTTATAGAGATGTGTGTTAATATGAGATGGCTATGGGTGTTAATTTGAAACTACATATACTATTTTAGGGTATCTGATTTTGAATTAATACCCCACATTATTTTCACGCTTATACAGTAAGAGATTTTTTGTAAGGTTGTTTATAGATAAATAAGATAATTAAATTATTTTTTTTTAAAAAAAAAAACACCTGCTTTTAGACAATCTTATTGTTGTATCTTAATATTTACATTGGTTAGTTGAATATGTACATACATTGTATATAATAAATTTTATCTAATATTAGCTACTTAATTAATACCAAGTACTAGATATTTTTCTAAAGTGCCAAAATCTACAATTAAATAATGCCCTGAAATTATTTAAACAGGATATTTACAAGAAGATACTACATGCAATATGATATAGTAATTCTGAATTTTTTATATTTAGATATTGAGTAGATAATATGTCTCGAGTTTTATTATTTAGACTTTTTACAATTCATAATATTTAGACAAATGGCTTTACTATGTTTTAAATTCAAATATGTATTGAATAAACATTATATTGCAATATCTTGTAAAATTAAAAAATACAAAATATAAATTATTTATTGATATATAAAATCAAAATATTACAAAGTGGATATTTTTACTTATATTGCTACTCTTGCTTTTTTTGATATAAAGCATATACGACAAAGTGGTCATCCTACTTATACCACTATTCTTGCTTTTTTGGCACTATACATCAAATTTTTGTGGCTTATGTTTTAAAGTTCAAACTTTGATAAAATAAATAACTCATATATCAAAAATTAATTATTATATGATTTTTCGAAAGCTATTTCTTGAAAGAACATAATACTGAAAAGTTAGCTAGCATTATTACAGTGTTATAGTATTAGCTGATTTAGTTGGTATTATGTTCTCTCAAGAAAATAGTTTTCAGAATACTGTATTATAATTCATAAAATCCAGGTTGAAATATATATTGTAAGCAAGAACATCTAATTGAATAATCTCTAATATAGCTTTTATAAAATATTAATTATATATACTTATTATATCATAGCTACATAAAAATATTCTTTAGAGAAATGTAGTAACTTAGTGTAGTGGTCTAATGGTCACTCTCTCCAAGTGGCAGGTCTAGAGTTTAAATCCCACTGGTAACAATTTTGAAAAATAAACCTGTGTACGGTTGACAGCATTCTATTGGTTGAATCTTGATTAATCTGTAACTTTGGTCACATCATCTAGTAATGGAAGCTTTGGTGCAATAAATCCAGAGAACCAGAATAACCAAAAACCCATTTAGCAAGTCCCAAGTTTGGAGGTAGTAGTTATCTATGACAGTACCACAAAAGAGCTGAATTCGAACTGGGGTCCGAGATCAGAGAACCAAGCAACCAGGTCCTAATAGTGAAGGACATACTAGATAAACCACCGGGTTGTCGCACCAGAGGAAAAGGACATACGCTCTAAAAGGAAAGAGTATCCTTCAGGCACCTAAAGCCTGGGCAAACTGACCCTTCCGGGTTGCTAGCTAGAAGTAAGAAAGAGACCGATAAAGAATTCAGGTAAGAAATACAGAGTACTGGGGTTGCTAGAAACCAAAACAAGAACAAGAAGTACGTAATGAGTGCCTAGTTAGAAAGGTTGGTGCTTGAGAAATGTCTGTAAAAAGGCAGTACCCCCAAAAGGTGGCATGAGATGCTAATACAGAATGCCAGGTCAATATGTACTAATTAGGAAGAAGTTGTAGAAACAAGCATGTGAATACATGTGTGAGACATGTACTACTATATTAGGTTTATCTTGAGGATAGTTAAATGTTCTAAGATAGAGTGCGAAATCTAGATAGGGTGTTACCAAAATCTATCATAGTTTATAGTGAGAAAACCTATTGGGTTAGAGGGCTGATGGAGGTAGTTAGAACTAGATGGTTTAAATAAGTACTCCCTAGTTGGAGTGCAGATACATCAGATAGTGTAAAACCTTTGGGTGGACTACTTAAATAGACACTCAAAAGGTGCACTTTACCATTGTTGTAATTATATATAAAACTTTGTCTATACTCTAATAAAAGTTTCCTAGGCCAAAGAGGTCACCTTAATACTAAAATATATATATATATATTCTTTAGAACATAATGTAGTAAGAAGTTTTTTTTTGAAATATAATTGATTTTATTCTAATTAAAAGCAAGATTATATAATATTAAATCAATATATATATCTGTAACTAAATTAAAAAAAAACTCTTTCTGATAATCACTTGAACTATATTTTCTAAAAAATATTTTACTACAAAAAGAGACCTTACAAGCCAGCGCTTGATATACTAGACAATAAGTCAGCACCTGTTGTTTAGAAATAGTTCTTATACACTACTTGCTAACAGACTTAGAGTTTATTACTCACTGCATAGTCTCGGCACTTGTCATTTAGAGATAGTTCTCATATGCTACCTGCCGACAAGTTCAGAGTTTATCACTCACTGAAAAAAGGTTAAGCAGGTGTTGGGCAATGGGTCTTGACTGTAGAAAAGAAAACTCACTCTTCTTTAAATTGGTTTGAAGCTTAAGTGGTCTCTCTTTATCTTTTGTTGTTTTTTCGTCGGTTTTTAAAAATTTTTCATAAAAAGTAGGATTTGGCTTATTCTCTTCAAAAGATTGGCATTGTTTACTTACCAAATCTAGATGGACCAGTAGATAGCAACCATGTGTTTGGAGATGAATACATGTTATGGGCCCTGGAACGAGTCCTAGTCAAAAAAAGAACCCCTGGTGGCAGCACCAAGTGACTTGAAACACGAGTATCTGAGTAACAGTGCCTTTATAGAAATGTCATGTCCTTGTCATTGTTGGTGCTATATATGGAGAGTCAGATCCTAGTACTGCGGCAGCACTTGGTTGAGATACAAACTAAGTCATTAAAAAGATTCGGAAATGGGTCAGAGGGAATTTTAAGGTTAAGTTTAGACTTACAACAAAGATATACAGATGTTGCATCTGGTATATAATTTTTAAATTACCTGGCATGGGTTATAATAGTGCATTCGGATCGCTTAATTTTTTTTTTTTTCTGCTTGTTTCATCTATTTTCATTTATATTAGAATCAGTTTAGATTCCTCTTTCTTTTTTTCTTGTTGTTTCATTTTCTTTTTTGAGTTCTGTTTTCTTTTTTAGAACAATTTCTATTTTTTTCAATTATGAGGGAGCTTTTCTTTAAATGTACCTTCCTTCATAATGTTGGCATATATGTTAGTCTTATGTAGAAGTAGAAGGTAATATGTATAATCTGCTGGGATTTAAGTGGATTGAGTTTGGGAAGATATTACTAAAATTTAAAGTGTGATAAGCTTAAAAGAAGGAATCAGCTCTTAAAAGAAGTCTTTCTTTTGTAAATTGGCATATATGTTTGCATTACACAGAAGTAGGAGAAAATATATTCTGCTCAAATATTGGTGGAATAAGTCTAGAAAGAAGGTAAAATATAATTAGTTTGAACTTAGATAGCTGAGTACTAAGCTATAGTAGGTTTTTAAATATGGGTGGCATCATATATGGAGCTTGTTGGCAAATATCAGTGTGGTAACTATATTTGGGCACATTTATAGCAGCTGGGTATTTGTCTAATATATAAATTAGATAGTTAATTTTGTAAATTACAAAAATTCTAATAAATTAGTATGAGGTTATCAAAGGAAATATATATATATATATATATATATACCTGTAATATAAATTATTTTTAATCAAAGTATTATAACCTATAGTTGAAAGTACATATTACGGATCTGTAATATG